GGTACTGAGGGGCATGGACCAATCTTCTCTTCTCATTACTGATCCCTTCTGCAGAGACCCTCGGGGCATGGGCCTATCCCATTCACCTCTGTGTCTCCTGGGTCTGGCACTGGGCCTCACACACAGTGCCGGATAGATAACCTCTGCCTAGGAACCAGTGAAATAGAGTGCAGAAAAAACAGTGAGTTCCTCAAGGACAGCCAAGATACATTCTTCTGATCCCCAGCTCTAGCGAAGGTCATTACAGTTTATCTTTCAAATTAGATTTCTGAGCATCACTTTTCCTTTTTGGACCAAGCCAAATGCCTATTTCTACATGCACAGGAAACACAATATCTAGTGCAACATCTACTAAAACCTTCTCACCTCTGCATGACCCTGTTGAGAGGGTGGGAGCCAAGAGAAACAAGTGAGCATCCTGTCCACAAGGGACCTGGCGTCAGGGCCTCTGGCCTTCCAGGGCCCTGGCCCTAGCTTGTCAGCAGAAGTGCTGGAGCCAGTGGCTGCAGTGGGAGTTTGGGCAGCTACCCTGGAGACCCTGGAATGGGGTTCGCATGGTCTTCCCAACCAGCTGCTTCCAGCTCTGGGCCAGCCTCTGTCTTGGAGGGAAAAGGATGGACAGTGACAGAAAGACCCAGAAAGCCTCAGACCTCATCTCTGTTGCTCAAGGACAAAATCTTTGAAGCAAGGCAGAGTGTGAGCCTGGCCCTCTGGCATCCCACCAAATCCAAAGGAAGTGTGTCTGAACTCCACACCATCACCTGGGGAACCTGGTTGCCCCTGCTCTGCGTGGAGGGCTCAGGTGCTTCACCTGGAGCTGCTGAGGCTGGGACCACATTCCTGCGCGAGGCAGCACCTGGGAGTCCTATGGGGAACCCAGAGGGTCTCTGCAAAGCCCTCCGCACAGCAGAACTCCAGGGACCAAGACAGGACCCAGGACGGGAGGTCAGCAGCAGGAGAGTAGTGATGAGGGCTTTCATGTCCTGAGACATGTGAGGCTTAGGGGGGCCCCCACCTGGCTTCCAGTTCTAGTTCTACCACTTCCCATCTGTGACTTCAAGCAAGTTGTTTGATCCACCAAACCCCTTTCTGCGCACCTGTAAAAGGGGAATGGCAATTGTACCTGTCTCACATTATAGCTGAGGATCCTGACATGCATGACTTCAGTTAGTCCTTACATCCACACTTGAGGAGAGGTTCCCGTCCTTTCTTCTTAGATGACACAAAAGTGTGGAGCAGTTCAATGGGCCCAAGTCAGCAGCTAACAAATGGCGGACCCAGGATTCTAACTCAGGTCTGATTCCCCAAGCAGCTGCCCTGCTCCATTTCCCCTCGTGTGTTTCAGGGCATCACCAAATGTCAGCATTTCATTAAATACTAAATGAAAAAAATCTGAAATCCACTGAGAAGCAAAATGCACATCTCTACATTGCATTTAAAACTAAATGCTGTGATGGGTAGTTACCTAAAATATGTTAACCTTGCACTTATTAAAGAGAACATTCTCTTCCTTGGTGGGATTATCTGGGTTCAGGCAAGATCTGGGACCCAGAAAAAGAATTTAACTCTTTTGCAGTGAAAGGTTATAAGGGGGTACATTTCCAGCTTCAACTTTTCTATAATATACCCTAAAATGTCAAAATGCTGACAGACATGTTTTGTTATGCTCAAAGAGCACTACTTGCCTTAGGCCACCCATCCCACCAATGTCATTTTATCAGACTGGGGACGATGCTGACACTGTCCTTACCAGCGAGCTCATGAGGAAACTGAGGTGCCACAGGCGGCTTACTGGAAGCCAATTAGCAGCAGCATGACACCTACAGGATGGCAAGTCCACCATCCTCAGATATGAGAGGCTGTCCTAATAAGGGGGACTGTCAGCTCAAAAGTCACCCAGACCTGCTTGCCACTCCCAGCTGCCTGAGTTTCCATATTATGGCATCTTCTTCATTGTCTAGCCACAACAGTGGCAGATAGACTGAAGGATAACTGCGAGACTCTTAGATCTCCCATTGGCATCTCTTCCTCTGGTGATGTTTAAAAATATGAACCAGGTTTGTACCACTGCCACCCTGGCTGTCCCTGAACACAGACCAGATGCCTCCAGATAAAGCCCAAAGCCAGTGAGAGGTGCCTCTACAATGACGCCCAACACACTCCATCTAAGGCACAGAGCTTAGGCAAAAGGTGTTTGGCTTAAGGATTCTGAAGACTTAAAAAATGATTGAAATGATGGGGAGACAGCCTTTACTGACCGTTTGATGTGTCACACAGGAGCCCATGCTCTAGTACTCGCGAGACCACTTCACATGGGTCAGGGCAGGGCACGACACTTCCCCACCCGGTGCTGGTCTGAATGAGGTCAGTGAGCAGGGATGTGTCAAACTGAGAGGAATGAGTCTAGCTTCTGTTCAGCACAGACCCTTGGAGGGCTGCTGGTCCTTGCTATATGTTTATTAATTTGTAAAAAATGCACTGTGGCTGGCCTAGTTTCATTTAATGCCTAATAAAGGGAAAAACTGTTTACATAGCACCCCTGGGTCTGACACTGAGCAGCTGAAGTTAGCAAGATCCTTCAATTTCGGAGATGACACAACCCAGCAGCCTGGGAAGAAAACAGTTCCTTTAAAAGCACGCCATTCCCAGGTGAAAGGGGTAGCAGCTGAAGATTATGTTAAATTAGACAAAATCAGGGCAAGGTAAGATGAAACCACAGGGGAAAAAGCCCAAATGCATACTTGACTACTGGAGCTTGACTACTGGGGCTGGTTGCGTAAACGTCCAGGATAGATGGGCAAGTCACTGCCCAATTTGTGTGCACTCTGTACAGTACAGATCTCTCTCTATATAAACTCTCTGCCTGTTTAACATTCTCCCCACAGTACATCAAACGAGGTCCGAGAGAATGGCCAGACTCTGCGGTACACTCCCAGGGTGACGTCTTCTCCTGTCCTGCCTCTGCCTCCCAGTTGTCACTCCCGTTCCTTGCTTAGGTGAGCGAGCTGCAGATTTTTCCATCAAAGGTCTTGTCACAGCGTCTGTTTTCTCTCCAGGCTTCACTGGTTGGTGAGATACCCCATGGTTCTCTAACGGGCCGGCTTTTCTACCTGCTGACCAGGCCGCCCTGCAGAGCTCAGGTGACCTTGCTGGCATGCCAGCAACTGTGTTAGGAGACAGGTTCTAAGTCTCAGGCTAGGCCATGATCAAATGCTGACACCAGTACCTACCGAGAGCTGTGTGCTGGGGACCGGTAAGAGCTTTACGCACTCTCGCATCTCATCTCCACGAGCGGTTAAGATAGGGAGTGTCCTCACCTCCAATTCAGATGAGGAAACAGAGGTTCAGGCCATTTATCCGGCAGGTAAGCAGTGGAGCCAGGATTTGGACTTGTAACCAGCGCCTACACTGCTTCCTCACTTACGAGCTGCCCTAGGCAGCCAAGTGCTTCCAATGGCAGCTTCCTGCTCGTACATGACACACAGGTCATCTGTTTCCTTGCCACAGCTTTTCAAAGCATGGATGTCTACTAAATACCCACCGGAAAAGCAGCATATAAAAATCAGGGCAAGGTAAGATGAAACCACAGGGGAAAAAGCCCAAATGCATACTTGACTACTGGAGCTTGACTACTGGGGCTGGTTGCGTAAACGTCCAGGATAGATGGGCAAGTCACTGCCCAATTTGTGTGCACTCTGTACAGTACAGATCTCTCTCTATATAAACTCTCTGCCTGTTTAACATTCTCCCCACAGTACATCAAACGAGGTCCGAGAGAATGGCCAGACTCTGCGGTACACTCCCAGGGTGACGTCTTCTCCTGTCCTGCCTCTGCCTCCCAGTTGTCACTCCCGTTCCTTGCTTAGGTGAGCGAGCTGCAGATTTTTCCATCAAAGGTCTTGTCACAGCGTCTGTTTTCTCTCCAGGCTTCACTGGTTGGTGAGATACCCCATGGTTCTCTAACGGGCCGGCTTTTCTACCTGCTGACCAGGCCGCCCTGCAGAGCTCAGGTGACCTTGCTGGCATGCCAGCAACTGTGTTAGGAGACAGGTTCTAAGTCTCAGGCTAGGCCATGATCAAATGCTGACACCAGTACCTACCGAGAGCTGTGTGCTGGGGACCGGTAAGAGCTTTACGCACTCTCGCATCTCATCTCCACGAGCGGTTAAGATAGGGAGTGTCCTCACCTCCAATTCAGATGAGGAAACAGAGGTTCAGGCCATTTATCCGGCAGGTAAGCAGTGGAGCCAGGATTTGGACTTGTAACCAGCGCCTACACTGCTTCCTCACTTACGAGCTGCCCTAGGCAGCCAAGTGCTTCCAATGGCAGCTTCCTGCTCGTACATGACACACAGGTCATCTGTTTCCTTGCCACAGCTTTTCAAAGCATGGATGTCTACTAAATACCCACCGGAAAAGCAGCATATTCTAGAAGGAAGTTCATGAGCTTTGGAGGCAGTTTAACCTACAAGAGGTTGGCTCTCTGGCTCTCTGACTCAACAGCTACTTGTTCTTTGACAAATTACTCTCTCTGAGCCCACTTTGTCATCTACAAAACAGGTGTGACACTGCTCGTCAGTAGGGGTACTGTGAGGCTTTAATACGACCACGTACGGAAAGGCTGGTTTTCTTCTCTCCTTAGCCTGAGACACCAAAAGGCAAGTGGGACCATGAAGAGGCTACGCAGGAACTGTGCAGCTCAACAACGATGGAGGCCTGTGCTTCCTGCCTGCCTGGGTCCCTTGTGATCACCAATCACCTGCTTACCAGTCCGGGCCTGCCTTCTTCAGGGCCACACCATGACCGGTCTAGGACGTGGCAGGTCTGACTGGATCACAGCTGAGGAGAAGATGCCTTCAGTGAGACCACCTCCAGGCACAGAGAGGTCTTCTGGCCCCAGGGCTCAACACTCCAACTAATTCATCCTAGCATGACACTTCTTACATGTCACTACTTTGTCAACTAAAATAATTGTGGAAGACTGTAAAATACAGAGAACATTCGCTCTAGTTTTTTGTATTTTACATGGAAATGTCCTTATATTTACATGGAAATAAACTATGACTATGACCTGGTAAAACTCTAGAAACACATGACTGCGGATTATACTAGACAATTAAAATAGTTGTTTGAGGGTTGAGGAATTGTGATTTTCCTTTTAAAAATATTCTTTAGTATTCAATTATCTTTCCGTTTTCAAAGTGAACGTTTTAAGAGAAAAATCTGAGGAGGATACAGGCACTTAGGCAGCCTGCCCACACCTTCCTGTCAGCTGCCCTCATTGTGCCTGCGGTGCCTTTGAAGGATTCAGCTGGGGGGGAGCCTGCACCAGCTTGCCTTGGCAGAAAGGGCCTTCCTGGGTTGGAGAGGACAAATTTCCCTTGCATAAAGCCCAGTGAGGCTGTACAGCGCCTGCAGCTGGCCGCCTCTTCGCTGAACACTCTGGCTGAAGCAATGGGCTAGCACAGTGGCTTTCCCTACAGCGCCCTCTTGTGGCAGAGAGCACCGACGACACCGACAGGCTGCTTCTGAGGCTTAGAATGGAACAAAAGTGTTAGAATGAGTCCTACTGAACATTTATATGTCTTGACAGAGAGGAGGACTCGTCCTCAGAGGGAGGACACATGCTCTGGGGGGCTGCATGTCTAAGAGAAGCAAGGAAGTCAAGGCTGGCACCTATCCCAACTGGGCTCTGTGGCAGACAGCGATGCACGGCTCAACGTGGCTTTTCAAAGAGGTATTCAAGATCTGGGGCCCGTAGTCGCTGTTCTTTGTTTCTGTTTTTAGCAAAGTCTTTCAGCAGTGCCATAACTTCATTCTCAAATACTTCTGGGGCTGGTTTTGCTTCTGCAAGAGAAGAATGGGCAGAAAGAATGATGTCAGTCAGTCAGTCAGTCAATACTCATGCATAAGGATCTTGAAACTTGAAACTGTGGCCTTGCCCAAGAACCAGAGTAGCTCCACAGACCATCTCCATTCTTCCTCTAGACATACACAGCAGCCTCCACCAGGAGCTGGCAAACTACAGCAACCCATGTTTGTGCACGGCTTCATTGGAACAGCTGCTGCCCTTTGTTTAGATACTGTCCATGGCTGCTTTTGTGCTACAATGGCAGAGTTGAGGCCATCTGGCCATAAGACTAAAATATTTACTATCTGGTCTTTTATGAACAAGTTTGCCAACCTCTGGCCTGTCCAATCTTGGCTGTACTGTCGCTCTGCAGCTGGCATTTCAGCTGTGTTCTGGGTATTGCATTTCCCCTTCTGATCTAAGCATTGCCTGAGGCAAAAGTTCTTGGTTGTGACATACTAGTAATTCTAGTGAATTTAAGCAAAAAGGATTTTATTAGAAGGATATAAGAGGCACACAAACTGGAATAAGCTTGGAAAACCAGATTTGAATGAGGGCAATAAAGACACTGAGAGCAGAGAAATCATCTGGGCGGGGGGTGTCACAAGGATGCTGCTCTCCTCCAACCTTCCTCTCCACCTCGTGACACTCATTTAATTACAAGGAAAGGCTCCCATTGAGAGAGCAGAGGTAATGTGCTCTGATAGGACACTCCTATTAAGACTGAATACAATGCCAGAGAGGGGATTCCTCAGAACAGTCTGAATCCCCCTCACTCAGCAAGGCCTAGCAGCTAGCAGTCCTGGCATCTGCTTTTTTTGTGATAATCAAAAGAAGATTTAGGAATTCCCCTAGGACGTTTGAAGTTGGAAGGAAGAATAAAAGATAAGGAAGAGAAGAGACCCTCAAAGGAGAAACTCGACATGAGCACCTGGTCACCTGAGACAGGGCACAGGAGGAATGGACAATGGGCACCATACAAACAGGTCAGAAGAATTGAGCTATAATTCCAGGTGGGAAAAAGCCACAGACACAGAGGAGTAGTTCACACCCACCTGCGGGTGGGGTTCAACAAACCCCCACTGAGTAGGCGCCTGACAAAGACGAGGTTCAGAGCATGAAGCTGAAGAAAGCCTGCCTCAGTGACGCAGGCCAAGAGGAGGGCAGCAGCCAACGCTGCAGGAAAAGCAGAGCCCAGGCCAGCCCTTCCCTCTACAGAGCAAAAGCCTCAAGTGAATGGGAGCAGGTCAGCAAATTCTGTGTCCCACAGGGCACATGTGAAGGGTGGTAGGAGGGCAAAAGATGGGCAGGATTACCAAGAAAGCCTACCCCCAAGACTGAGGGTCACAGGGACTAAAGCTGCCCAGGATAGCAGCGAATACCCTTCCGACCTCCCCTCCCCTAAATTGATAACCAAGTGAAAGGCAACAGGCATCTACCCCTGGCGAAGGGCAAGAGCAGGGAGAGAGAGGCTCTTTGAAGCACAGAAATACAGTGAAGGCTGAAAGCTTAGGGTAGAACAAGAAAACTGAGAAATACACTCTGAAAATCCAGTCTCCACCCTATGCACACAGTAACCAGAGAGTCTGGTGGTGCACTGAAGGGAGCGAAAGCAGTAACAAAACCCAGTGAGCTTAACTCTTAACTGACTTGATCCCCATACTGACAGCCTAGTGAAGCTGCATGCCCATTTCTAGACACAAATACTATTTACTTCAGACTTTACTGTCTTACTCATGATGTCTAACACTCCATCAAAAATTAGGAGATGCACACACATAAAGAAGAAAAAAACAAACAACTGTGAAGAGACAAAGCAATCAACAGAAACAGACTCAGAGCTGACCTAGATGTTAGAACTATTAGGGAATTTAAAGCAACCATGACTAATACGTTAAAAGCTCTAGTAGAAAAAGCAGACAAAATGTATGAAGAGAAGAGGAATTCCAGAAGAGAGCTGGAAATTAAAAATCACATGGAAAAAATAAAAGTAAAGTAGAAAATACACAGAATGACCTCAACAGGCTCAGCATGAGATTTGACACAGTTAAGAATTAGTGAAGTGGACTAGGTCAATAGATACTACCCAAAACAAATTCTCCAAAGTGATACATAAAGAGAAAAGAGTGAACTATGCAAAACAGAGAATCCAAAAGCCAGAGGATAATACCAAATAGCCTAAGTGTAATTGGATCCGACAGGTCTGACAAACTTCAAGGAGGATAAATACCAAAACAAACACTTCAGACACATCACATTCCAACAGCTAGAAACCAGAGTTGAAATGTTGAAAACATTCAGAAAGAAAAGATAAATTACGTACAAAGGAGTAGATACAGCAAGACCTGGTCAGACACAAAGCAAGCCAAGAAACAGCGCATGGTGACCCCAGAGGATCTGAAGCTGATGGTACAGTGGAGGCAACCCCGGCTCAAGTCCTGACCAGAATGACTCAGTCCTCCACCCTCTCAGCAACAGAAGTGTGCCCTGTCCAGGCCTGAAAGAAAAGGCTGTGAACCTGTGATTCTCTAACAGTCTTCTGAATATGTGAAAACATCTTTCACAAATGACAAACAAAAGCTGAGAGAATTCATAAAAGCAGACCTGAACTACAAGAAATATTAAAGGAAGTTCTACCAGATACAAACATGGATCTACATAAAGAAATCAGTTCTCCAGAAATGATTAAAATGCAGGTAAATAGCCAAACCAATCCTGAGAAAGAAAAACAAAGCTGGGGATATTATGTTTCCTGGCTTCAAGCTCTACTACAGAGCTACAGTAATCAAAACAGTATGGTTCTGGTGCAAGAACAGCTACACACATCAATGGAGCAGAACAGAGAGCCTAGAAATAAGCCCACACATGTCATCAATTAATATATGATAAAGGAGCTATAAATATACAATGGGAAAAAGGCAGTATCTCCAATAAATGATGTTAGGAAAACTGGACAGCTACATGTAAAAGAATGAAACTGGATTAATACACAAAAGTAAACTCGAAATGGATTAAAGACCTAAATATAAAACATGAAGCCATAAAACTCTTAGAAGAAAACTTAGGCAAAAATCTCCTGAACATAAGCATGAGCAACATTTTTCTGGACACATCTCCTCAGGTAAGGGAAACAAAATAAAAAATGAACGAGTGGGACTACAACAAACTAAAAACTTCTGTACAGCAAAGGACACTGTCAGCAAAACAAAAAGGCAACCTACAGTATGGGAGAATATATTTGTAAACGACTTATCTGTTAAGAGATTAACATCCAAAATATATAAAGAACTCATATGTCTCAACACCAAAAAGACAAATAACCTGATTAAAAAATGGGCAGAGAACCTGAACAGACATTTTTCCAAAGAAGAAATACAGATGGCCAACAGGCACATGAAAAGATGCTCCACATTGATAGACACCAGGGAAATTCAAATCAAAACCACAGTGAGGTTATCACCTCACACCAGTTAGAATGGCTGCTACCCAAAAGGTGAAGATGTGGAGAAAAGGGAACCTTCCTACACTGTTGGTGGGAATATCAATTGGTACAACCACTGAGGAAAGCAGTATGAAGGTTCCTCAAAAACCTAAAAATAGAAACACCATTTGACCCAATAACTGCACTTGTAGGAATTCATCTAAAGTAAACAAAATCCCTGATTCAATAAGATATATGGACCCGTGTTTACTGCATTATTTACAACAGCCAAGACATGGAAGCAACCAAAGTATCTATCAATAGATGAATGGATAAAGAAGATGTCATACATATACACAATGGGATATTACTCAGCAATAAAAAAGAAAGATATCCTGCCATTTGCAACAACAATGGATACACCTAGTGGATATTATGCTAAGTGAAGTAAGCCAGGTGGAGAAAGACAAATACATGATTTCACTTATTTACGGAATATAAAAACAAAACAAAATAAACAAAACAGCAGTAGACTCAGGGACATGAAGAAGTGACTGATGGTTATCATGGGGGAAGGGTTGGGGTGAGCAGGTGGGGAGGCGAGGGGGGATAAAGGGACACAAAAATCTCAATCATAACAAAGTTGGTCACAGGGATAGAAGGGCAGCATGGAGAATACAGCCAATGGTTCTGTAAAATCTATGTTGACAAGACAGTAACTGCCCTAGTTGGGGTGAGGATTTAATAATGTATATAACTGCTGAACCACTGTGTTATATACTTGAAACCAATATAGTGCTGTGTGTCAACTATATTTCAATAAATAAATAAATAAAAGTGAGGTAAATATAAAATACAATGTGTATTACAACATATTATGTACAAGCTATATACATAAGCTATAACGTATACTTACAAATATAATTCTTTTCCTTATTTTCAATCACTCTAATGATAACTGTCTAAACTAAAATAGAAATGTAGCATAGGCTTACAGCACAAGTAAAAGTAAAAAGTGTGACAATAGCACATAGATGGGAGGGGGAATTTGGAGTATACTACTGCAAAGCTCTCACGTTACACACGAAGCGTTTTGACATTACTTAAAGGTAGACAGTGATTAATTAAAGATGTATATGTAAACCCTAGGGCAATCACTAAAAAAATTATAATGAGAGGTATAAATAATAAGCCAACAGTGGAGGAAATTTAAAATACTTGATTTTAAAAATCCCATGGAAACAGAGGGGAAAAGGAACAAAGAATCAATGGAAGAAAGAGGAAACAAATAAAAAGATTGTAGATTTTATTCAATCACACTGATCATTAATTACATGTGAATGGCCAAAACACACCAATGAAAAAACAGGGACTATTTAAGATTGGATAAAAAAGAATGGCCATATACACTGTCTACAAGAAGTTCAATTTAAATATGAAGACAAAGATAGGTTAAAAGTGAAAGAATGGTGTGGTAAGCAGATTTCTAAATTGGCCTCCAGTATTTCCCACCCTCCTGGTAAATAAGCCCTGAGTAATCCCCAGATTATGAACATGATTTTCCCTCCTGTGATT